CACCCAAACCTGAGCTAAATTTTGGGATATTTAGACTTAGATAAACTTTGATCCATAAGGGAAATTGTTTTATCACAGTCGCATAAAATAAAATAAAATAAAATAAAATAAAATAAAATAAAATAAAATAAAATAAAATAAATATAACAATATACAAAAACATTTAATTCAAAAATTTACAATTTTATTTTATTTTTGCCAAGTAAAGACAGACAAGAAAAATAATTAAAAAATAAATAAAACAAATTAAATTAATTATAAATATAAATAAATACTACTGTAACACTCGTGGAAATATATGAGTGAAGGAGTTATCTGATGAATATATATAATATGAATATAATGAATATTATATTAATGAAAAATTTTATCACCAATTTAAAAAAAAACAAAAAAAACAAAAAATAAACCAGATTCTGTAAAGAAAACCAAAAAAAAACCTCTGACCGCCAAAGCACAACAATGATGTGATGAATATTCTGACTTCTCAGCTTGACTGCAGGTTGTGTTTTAACAAAGCAGATAAAATATGAAGCAGAATTAAAAATGTAAGCACTAAAATATCTAAAGCAAGTGGAGCCACTATTTATTTATTTCTTTTCCATATCAGCAACAATCGTTAACATGCTGGTTTTAGTTTTTATTCATTATCTGTAAAATAAATAATCGAAGACATTAAACTTTTACATTGTCCTTTTCATGATTCATGGCATTATATAGTATCTCAGCTACACTGGGGTGAACTGGTAGCTCACCTGGTGCAGCGTCCGCCCCAAACGCTAGAGAACCTTGCTTGATTCCAGCTCATGGCCATTTGCTGCATGTCAAACCTTCTCTCTTGCTCCCTTTCCTGTCCCTCTGCAACCTCACACTCAGTAAAGGCATGAAAGGGCAAAAATAAAATGTTTGAAAAAAACATTGTTACACTGCACAAAAGACATTTCTGTGTTCTCCCTGCTGCCAGCCGTGGTTGTGCTCTTTACTTAAAGGTGAAAAACTTTATACTGCAGTGAAAAGTAAATGAAAATGTGAAAGGAGCAAAGAAAAATACGACCAGAAATCGCTTGAAGTTAAGAGGACTGAAACGAAAACCCCCCTATTTTTTTTTTTTTCAAGTTACATGAAAAAAAAGCTAATTGTATATGTTATATATGAGTCCCCATGGCGGACTTCTACATGGCAGTCATGCCTGCATAAGCGAGCGATTAAAGTAAGTGACCAGTAAAGCTATTTGGCCCGCAGAGATTTGCCAAGCGGAAAAAAAAATTAATGAGATATTAGTTTCCGTGCCACCCTAATGTGAGTAACGGTCTAAGCATGGCCACAACTATAAAAATTGTCTGGCTCCGACACATTTCAATCCAGCGTGTTTGGACTCGGCCAGTGAAAATGGAAACTGCACAAGGAGGCATCTAATAAGCGCAAATACGTTAAATCACTATTGCAGAATAAACGCCAGCCATAAATAGAAGTCACATAAAATTTCATCATCGTATTTTCTTGTGCTGCGAAGTACATGTAGTGGAGTAGGAGTATAAAATAACATTAAAGAGAAATGATACTTAAGTAAACTGCAGTTGAGTGAATGCATTTAGCTGTTTTCTACCACTGGCTGGTAGCTAATTATAAGACGGCTTCGCTGGAGTGAGCATTAGAGAAAAAACATGCACACCAGCACTTAACTTCCTCTGACAACCTCCTTCCCGTCCTTGCATCACACTGACGATTTCCTACGAGCGCTTCTGCAATATCGCATGTGCGCACGTTGCACCCAGAGGCGCTGCACAGAGGCGCAGGACTTATCAATAACAGAACGGTCAGTAACTGGGTTATTTATATATCTTTCGATGCCCTCCGGCAGGAAGAATCTTTTAACTGCATTTTGCAGAGCAATTTTCCCCACTGAATGTTAATGAATGATTCAGCATAATGAGAACGCTAAGTATACGCTACTGTGGGAATTGATCGCTATTGTTTCACGTGTCAGAAGCTAAAATGGTTCAACTGTTGTTTCACGTAGATGTCTCAATGTTATACGCTATTCACGCCGAGCCTTGGTGGTTTCATGTGCCGACAATAACGTAAAAATCCCGACATATTTCATTAACCATGAATTATGCATGCTCATGATGATGTTAATGATATGCTAATGATGATGATCGCCTAGGTCCATTTCCTGTTGCGATGGCGCATTAGATATGCACATTCGCCAACGTGCCAGGTAGCTGGCACACTTAAGTTGTTATAAAAGGTGAGATAGGCCGAGATGGAAATTCCCAACAGAGAGGAAGAAACCGCTATATGTCACGTTTTCTCCCCACGCGAGGAGTTGGGGAGTTTGCATTTCAAGAGGAGAGTAAGGGGAGAAGAAAAGCTAATCAGAAAAGGGGTGTTTTTTTTTTTTTTTTTAATCCCAGCTCTGCTGAGGCGCCTTTTCTCCTCAAGAAAAATCTGTGTTTCTTTCACACTGCCTCTGCAATCACTTGAAACCCCATTACAGACCATGTGACAGCATCAATTAAATTCACAATCATGGGGCAGAGACACTCCAGCGTGAGAAAATATAGTAACAACGCCTGTGTTGTGCAAGTGTGTGTGTGAGTGTGTGTGTGTGTGTGTGAGAGAGAGAGAGATAAAGAGAGCGAGCGTGTTGATAGAGAGCACAAAACTGAGTCAGACAATTCACTGCTGAAAATGTTTCTTGCCCTTTTCAGCAACTCTCGCGAACCTGAACAACTCTCCAAAAAACAAGATGCCACAGTCAACAAAAACTCTCGATCTCCAACAGTATGAAAACGTGTCAAGGGCCAGTCCAACAACAGCGCACGGGCGGCAGGTGGCTCGCCGGCTGCTCTTCTCTGCATTGAATAACAGATTATCGGGTTTTTGATGGAGCTTCTGAGAGTTTGAAATCAGAGGCAGTGCTTATGAATTTCCATGGAGAATTACACTGAGGGTGCTGTGTCCACAAAGTTGGTCCCTAATTCATTATCAGTTTAGCAGCAGAGCCTTTGTCTCCCATTGACATCGCAGATTAGAGTCTTGGCTCTTGTTTCCAGCTTTAGCGGAGATTTATTCTGACTAAACTGACCGAGATCACACACACACACGCACAAACAGCATGAATCAACGTTAGAAGGCGGATTTTTAAAAGCGAGCCCACTGTTAACCGCACAGTACCACCTTCAGATGGTTTGTGTCTAAGCGTGCACGAAGACTGTACAGCTGACTTTCGGCGAGACACGTGCTGTGAGTCACGGGCAACAGTGTTTGCAGCTGACTCAGCCTGAATTTGGACCGTGCTAGATCTGGCAGGTGGAGCTGCTCTGGCCTGTACAGTCAATTTCTTCACGCTCTCCACTATAGCTCTCTCCATTAAAGCACAATCAGTGGCCCGATAGAGTAAAAAAAAAAAAAACAAGTCCACATTGATCCCTCTACCTATAGTGCCGGCCTTCACTGGAGCAGAGCAGGAGATTAAAAATTCAAAAGCGTATTAAAATCTATAAGAGCATTATTCATGTGTGTGTGCCGTCACTGTCTAATACAGTAGGGTACTAATCATACGAATCTCTAACCCGGCGCACACACAAACACACAGTCACAATAGCATTCTGGGTGTACTCCAAGTGTCAGCACTATCATATGGGCATGTGTGTGTGGCCTGGCATTGTTCCCTCCTTGAGTGCCATACAATGTGCTGGCATAAATACCTGCTTGACACAGCAGATTGGCACTAATGGCTTTACACGCAGTGCCATCTGTAAGCTGGACTGTTGGCTCTTGCATCTTCGCCGTGCCCACTAACAGTGTTTCATAGCGTTCACTTCAGACCTCCATCAGTCATAGCACAAAGGCAAAAACAGCCAAATTAAATGTTGGCTTAACATCAGGGAGGATGCACATAAAGCCTGCAGGGTCCTGCCCATCTGTGTGCACCTGCATATTAAAAGCTAAAAACACAAAGCAATTTGGGCCTTTTTGTCTATCAAGTGCGAGGCGCCTCCCGCTGAGCCGGAGCTCTTAAACACCAGCCCAACTTTGAGCACTCACACATGCACACACCAACTTCTTAGACTGTGGCTTCCAACAGCCTGCAGCAGTCACACAGGGATCATTACTATTCATTTGCTCAGCAAACTGGCCACACAGGCTTATAAATTAGCTCATCTACCGCAGCTGGGTACTGAGACAGTTGGCGCATGCTGAGGGCTGAGAGCGCAGCCATTACAGTGCAGGGCTCCGAGACACCTTCTGTCCAGCCAACGTGACCTCCCCCACGCTCATCTGCTCACCCTTTCAAAGAAGGGGGGAGTGAGTGTGTGTCGTGCCCAGTCAATGATTCTAATAAATTGCAGAGCAGAGCAATAGGACTACTGGCCTGTATGTGTTGAGCCGGGGGAAAATGCAGTGATAAATCCTGTCAAAGCAGGCGTAAATCAGTCCGAATGAAATAGCATTAGCGGGACCTTGCAGACCTCTGACCAGGAGGGAGGGGAGCTGACAGGCCTGACCTACAGGGAAATGAGGGAACACTCGGACGACTCTTGCTTTCTGTCCTGGGGGGAGGATCAATGGTGGAAGGAAAAAGTAAAGCCATTAATTCTCCTGGATATGTCAATTCCCATTGGCGGGTGCAGATTGGTAGTGATCATGACAAGCCCCTTGGGCGGACGGGATCTGAGGCTTTTCTTGCGCCTCAGTACGCCATTGATTCATTGGAGTTTTTACGGCTACCTGGAAGGCACCAGATCGCACTGGAGGGATGTAAATCAATTCCAATTGCGGCTTTATAACAGTGTACAGAAAAACTCAAGAGCGTGGCTGTGGGGTTAAATTATGCTAATCATCTCTTGTGTAAGATGTGTACCTGAGTGGAAGACCTGAGGTTAAATAAGCCATGTAAGAGACTTGTAACGGTGTCTTAAATATTCATAAAACATTCATAAAATAGTTCACAGCCCTCGTGAATGATGAATGAAGTTTTTCTTTTCCCTTACCCGTCCGATGAGCACAGGTTCAGGCCCGGCGTATTCTTCAATCACGAAGAACTGGTTCCAGATCCAGCTCCTCCTGCTGCGAGAGCGTGGCCCCTTCCCCTCCATCCGCTCGCGCACATCCTCCTCCACCTCCGACTCCGCTTCCTCAAACACGAGGCCCTTTCCATTTTCTGGATCGACAGCTTGCATCTCAGTGTCTTTGGTGCCGCGGCTCCATTCAGGAGCAGGGTGGAGCCTCAGGACATGACTGCTGTTGACGAGTTTGTTGTCTTCATCTGCGGGGTACTGAGCTGTGCTGAGTTCTGTTTGAGCAGTGTGAGCTGACTCTGTTAATGGGTCTCTATGGGAATCTGCTGCTCTGTTCCCCAGCCTCACTCCCAGGGGTTGCACTGTCAGCACAGACGGAGGAGATTCATTTGTTTCAGAGGGAACATACGCAGGGAGATGTTTTGTCGATGTAAATGGTGGTTCTGTGCGGCTGATCATTACTTCCTTCTCGGGGCTCAGGCTGACCTCGCTGCGAGGCGTTGACAGTAAACGGACGAGATGTTTGCTCTTGTTATCGCCACTATCTGAGCCCTGTGTTCCCAAGTTGTCCTGCCCTTTACTTAAAGCGGGCTTGACTTCACTTAACGGATTAGTACGAGTGTCGGCGCCCTGGTCCCGATTAAGATCTGGAGTAGTGACTGGGTTCGCATAAGGAAATGCAGTCTGATTATCAAATCCAGCGTGAGGCTGAGTGACAGCCATATCTTGTCTCTGCACTTTCTGAGCCTCTAACTGTCCGTGATTAACGTCAATCAAATCTCTCTTCCTGCTCCGGCTGCCCTTGCTCGGAAAGCTCAGGCTGGGAACGCTCTGCATTTGGGAATTGACAATCCTGACTAGGTTCTCCTTCGAAAGCAGCTTCAGCACTCCATAGCTGCCGGTGAGGTTCAGCTTTCGGTTTGAATCTATGCTGAAACCTTTTCCGGGCACCCCTGTGGTGTGGACGCTCAAATCAGGTCTGCTCCTGGATCTGGAGCCAGATTTAAACCTGGTTTTATTGGAGTGTAGCTCTGGCTTGTGATGGATTGCGAATGTTTTCTCTGACCTCCCCGTTTTGGACGTCTCAGCACTCTTGGTGCTGTTTTTAACTTTCCTCACATCCTGGTTTAACTCCTTGGCTAATATATGCGGAGTCACTTCTTTTTTACTGACAGAGTCAACCTCCCGCTTGGGCTTGAAAGGCTGCCGCTCCTTGTTAGCTGCTGATGGAGCAGGATGATTCTGTAATATCTTGGAGTACGAAAAAGATCCAGAGTCACTCGCCTGTTCGTGACTAATAAGGTTCCTAAGAGTCACCACAGGCATCGCATTCGAATCCACGCTTGCATCCCATTGGTCGGCGGTTCTGCTTTCCCCTAGCTTCACCATGTGCGATCCGCCCACTCCCCTCCTCCGTAAGATCTTACTGGCCGAGGCACCTCCCACAAGCCCCTCCCACAGGCACAGGGACACCAACAGGAGCAGGTTTCTTGTAATCATCTTGTCTTGCGGTGAGATGTCCTAATTTGAGGAAGGTTCGCTGTGAGGCAGGTCTTGTTTTCCGGTTGTCTTCATTCTCTCCTCTGTTTTCCCTCTCTTCATGCCCCTCCTCTCACTTTGCTATTCTGTGCCCTTCACACTGAGCTGGAGGGCAGGTGTCAGTCACTGCTTCTCTCTTCTTCTTTTCTTTTTTTTTCACGCTGCTTAATATCTTCCTCTATCTCACCAAGCCTCTCTCCGCTGCTTTTTCCCCGCTCCTCTCGCGAACCGTCTCATTCAGCTTCCCACGGAGGGTTGAACACCCTGAGAGAAAAGATAAAGATAATTAAGTTAAAACTTTAATCATTGCACTGCGTTAATTAAAAGTAGAGCAGCGCAGACAGGTAGGAGAACGCACAGACAAGCAGGACGGACCTTTTAACGGGGCGGCAATCACATTTTCACAAGCACAAAGGGCTTTTAAGACCCAGAACACACTTCCATTGATACCTTCATAATGACCCAAGTGTTTTTTTTCCTTACATCTTTAAGATAGACAGGGACAAAGTTATCATTATACCATTGTACATGGAAGGAGATAGGATAACACTTATTAGAAAACGCTCTGAGCGCTTATTAAAGGGAACGACGACTGTCAAGGATTTCTGACTGCGGTGCAAAAAGACAGCAGCTACGACACGAGACTAGCTCCATATCACTTTGATGCATGATTAATTGGCTGGTTTGATATTGTCCTTTGATCAGCCGGTTAGAATGTCAATGCAGATGCAAGCAGTAGATGCAGATGCACTTTGTTGCGTACAGGGCCTTAAGCGATCTAAAAGGTTCCTCACGCATCCGCCTCACACTCTCAGCATGTCTCTCATGCACTCAAGCCTCAAATGGAAATCCTACGCCAAATCGAAATGTCAGATATCAATCACTGTGCTTGTTTTAAGATAAGAGCAGGCACCCTTCAGTACTGTTTCAGTAACATCAGCCCACGCATCTGACAAGTCAATAATGTGACTATTTGCCAGATTGCATTAACATAAAAACCCTTCCGCTACTACTATGTGCGCAGGCATATGCATGTGTAATTCACAAAACTCCAATTTAGATGAGAGTTATTTGGCGGTCCATTATGTCGGAGGACTCGCATAAGAAAGACATTAAAAACAATGGTCAAAATCAATGCAGTCGAGACTGATAAATCCTGCCTTTTAGTTCCTGTAAGCATCCGACATTTCCCATAATAACTCAGTGGCTTCTATCATTAGACATCTGATCTCGCTGGTAAATGCCCACGTCTTTCAAAGGCCACGTGGCAAATTCTCTGATTGTTGATTTAACCCCTAAAACTCATCCCTGCATATCAAAGTTATGGATTTAGAATTATTTTTCCATGACAAGAATCCCTTCCTGCCTTAAAATGACTTAGATGTAACTCAACTGTGTTGGCTCCTTTGATATGAACTACCTTCAACCCTGTTTACCGCTGCCCGAGCACACCAGCTCACCATCAAACCTGCGCAAACCCCGTAAAACTCCTCTACACTACACAGTGGCAAGCTGAAATGCTGATTAAGCCAAAACGGGAACCAACGCTTGAGAAGGATAACAATACGTAAATGAAAATTGACAGGCCTGCTTCTTTATTCTTGTAGTTTAATTGTAGCAACTGGACTTGCTTGAGTTCCTTAAAGACGTTTCACCTCTCATCCAAGAGGCTTCATCAGTTGGGAGATCCAGATAAGTACTAATGACTCGCATAACGAGGGGGAGGAGCAACAAACCCCTAATTGAAACCCAAACTCAGGTGTTAATGGCTCCTTAAGGATATAAGTATGTGGAACTCCCAACAAGTCAGACAGAACTGATGAAGCCTCTTGGATGAGAGGTGGAACGTCTTCAAGAAACTCAAGCAGGTCCAGTTGCTACGATTAAACTACGAGAATAACCACGACCTGGATGAATCTTCACAGACTGGTTCTTTAGGTTTGTTACAGATAAAGCCCTTAAAAGACCAAATCTGTGCTTATGATTGTGTCAACAGTACTCTGCAGTTTTAAGATCAAAATGCTCAGCCATGGTGTTGACTGCTTATTTCGCTCATGATATGTCTTCCAGCAGATTAAAAATAAAAATAAAATAAAAAACACCATATGGACACTTTAACAAGGAAAACAACTGATTTTCACTGGAGTGGGTCTTTGAAATCCAACTGGCATGTTGACTTAATAGGTCATTTTCCATTCAAAATGAAACAAGTCTAATGAGACGCTGATATTTCTGACTGGTCTGAACTGCTCTCTCTTAACAAAATCGAGTCACATAGACGTAAACGTGATTCGCGCTTGATACAAACATGTCTCGTTAAAACGACGCAGCCTTGAGTAGTTTAAATTACAGATAATAATATAATTTAAACTGCAATTATATCATTGCAGAGAAACAGTCACAATTACCTATCTTCTTCAAATCCTTCATCGCACAATTACTGTTTTTCCTTGAATGAACTGAACCATTTCCATGTCGATTTCAATAACCCCTTGATGAAAAACTGAGTTATTCTTCGTATCCGCCCATCTAACAATCTAAATTACGTGTAATTATTCAAAAGCTATATTCTAACTTTCCCTGTCTGTCTTCCGGCGTGTAAAAGCACAATGGGATGTTAACAAGGTGAAAAAAATAAAGCGTTTTCACAAAAGTGGGACTGTTTTCTTTCTTCGCAGCTACAGAAATTGCAATACAAGTTTTTATTATTTCTAGGAATGAACACATTTCTGAAGTTGTAGCGTTATGTGCAAGTGTCTAAGTTTCTATTTTCTTGTGGGGGAAAAAGTAGCAAACTCGGCAAAACTGTATTTAACGTTTGTACAGTTTGAGAAACTTGGGTGTAATGGATTAAGCAGTGCCGGTTCCATCGTGTCCTGTGCAGCGTGGTGTGGTTTCGTCTGGGTGTATGACACTTGCTCCGCTGTGGCGCAGACAGACCCTGTCAGCACATTCACTGGGGCATGACTGAAGTTGGGATGTTCCTCCTGGAATACTTTTCACCCCCTTTCCTCTCTCATCTTCTCCTCAATGTCCTCGGCTTCCTCTCTTTCTTTCAGCCTCTCTCTCTCTGTTCTCCGAGCAAACCCCTTTTGATGAACAGTAACGAGAAAAAAATAAATAAATTAAAAAAAGATTATCCACCGCCCCTCCTCTCCTGTGCGTTTTATTTTTTTTCCCACCTTCTCCCACTCACCACCTGTCTCTACTTTGGCCTCTCTATCTCAGTAAATCTCCCTCTATCCTCTCACTTTAACTTGCTATTGTTTTAGTATCCTCATCCTCTCCGCTGCTCGCTTCTATCCTCTTTTCCTCCCTCTCATCTGTGTCAATCACGGGCCTGTCACCGGCGTCCCTCATCCTCGGTGCACTCCGGCTTCAATCAATCAGCCAATCTCCTTCCTCGGCCTTGCAGCATTTGAAGTGACAGGTGTCTCGCCGGCTACCATCTTGACGGCAGGCTACAACGCCGTAATTGCGCATATAAATCTAGTCGTCAAATGATAAAAATGCGGCAAACGGGATATATCCGCTCGTTACAAGGAGGCGAGCTGCGAAAAAAACGCTGGAGAGATGTTTAGGGAATAAAGTTATATATATATGAACGTCACAGAGGGCCTCTTCGGCGGATGTGAGGCCGGGGTTTTGGCTGAGCGTTATCTCAAATGTACAGCATGAGGAGGCGATCAGGGTGAATTCAATGACAGAGCTCCTCTCTCCTCCCAGAGGAACTTATCAGCTGGGAGTTTGATGGCCAGGCAATCATTGCCACGGGCACCTTGTTAACAAGCCTGGGGCAGGTGGCGGGATGCAGGGCAGAATATCAACATGGCACCGTCGCCAGCTGAGCACAAATTTATAACATTTTCGCGTGGGAGGTTCTGTCGGCGCGAGGTTTAACTCCGCAGAAGCAAAAGTAAGAATGAAACCACTTTTTTTTTACTCTTTGGCTCTTTTTATCTTGCACACCATTTTCGAGCGGGAGATTTCTCTAAGAACGTAGTCGAGGCACTTCTGTAATGTATTGATCTGTGTCGCAGCCTCTCGCATTGTGCCCGGCACCTTTGGGGAGAGCGATTGTTATGCCATTACCCAGGGTGCATCGGCCTGTACAGCAGTAAGTGAGGATAATTGGGTGCTCCAGTTGGAAGCGCGAGGGAGCTCATATTTCCTCATTAGAGTTTTATAATGTAATACGGCGAAACTGTTGTTTTCAGCCTCGTGGAACCGGCGCGGATCAGGACGGGGATTTCACCCGTAGCTTTAACATACAGTACCGCGATCTGGAGCAGAGTAAATAAGGATGAGAGGGTGATGCAGCTGGTAGCTCCGGGGGGCTCTCGTCTAATTAGGGCTTTAGAAAATGTACAAGTGTGGAACATTCTGAGAGCTTCAACCCTTCTGAACCCACTGTACTGTGTTTCTTTGTAAGTTTTCAACACCTAAACCATGTTTCTTAATAAAACGCTCAATTGAGCTCATAAATATCTTCACTATTCTCCTCTTAGCGGCTCGATGCTGCCTAAAACTCAAATGATCTCTCGGTTCTTTAATATTTTAGACAGGCACTCATCATCGATTGCGAGCTGTCACCGACTTAACAAGACCGCAATTTTTAATTACAATTCCTCTCCTCGCGTGCCGTCTGTCCTCTCTTGTCGAAACAGGCAAACACTGACCCAGACGCAGCGGCACGTCCGCGCTCAGCCTCTCCACAACGACGAACAAACACGCCGTGTGACTTCAAGCCCTGTTGACAAAACATTCTCCGGGAAAAAAGTATTTATTTGTTTACCCGTGTGCACAAACACACACAAAAATGCTCTGCGCTCACAAAGCCTCATTCATCCCAGCATCTCAAATTCATCAAGTCGCACTCACACACACACAAAAAGAAAAAACCTCCCCGAACACACACTTGCATCTGCACCTGGTAGGGAAAGTCAAGAAAGCTCTTGGGACTGCCTCTCTGGACGCAGTGAAGTCAGAGAGAAGAAAGGAAGCGCTCTCTCACACCAGGAGAGAAAAAGCAAAAGAATTATGCATGGAGGTAACAAAGGCGAGCTCCAGAAAAGAGGATGTTTGGTGGGACGGCTGCAGGTATAGTTAGCATGTGTGAAAAGAGGATGGGAGGCGTAGAGGTGGAGGCGGCGGGAGGTGAGGAGGGGGGAGAGTCGGTCCTCCCCTCGGAAAGGACCGGACGGGTAAGTTTTTAAGTGCAAAGCCCCGTAAAGCAGCTCCCGTCCTCGCCTTGAACCTGAGCAGATAAAAGCAGGCCTGTCAGGGAGCGAGGAGGTGAAAAGCAGCGGGAGTTTTCGTCTGTTAATGTATGAGTACCTTTTCCGCCCGTGTCCTCAGCCTTGTCTCTACCTCAGCCTTAGTGATATACTGACAGCAGGTGCTAACCTCCCCTTGGGAGAGAATACAGCGGCAGCCTATGGACGGGAGATAACTCCCCGAAAGGCGAGAGGTTTGCAGAGGACAACGAGGGAAGCGAGTGCAGGTAAACAGTGTGACAGCAGCGGGGTTTGTCTTCTTTTTTTTTTTTTTTCTTTTCTTACATTAAAAAACAGTGGTATGAATTCACAGACGTAAGAGCTTTGAAATTTTGTCCACTTAGGGGTGGCTGTTTGCCTGTTGGTGAGATTAGGACTAAAAATACTCAGTGTAACAGAGCAGCGACAGGGGGCTTTGGATTTGCTTGGCTTTCAGCGAGATCAATGGGGTTACAAAAAATGTCAGAGCTTGTAGAACATAAAGCAAGAATGCTGCTATTTAAAATACAGAATGTGCAGCAGAAACAGCAAACATGAGAGATGTGAGGGTTCAGGCTTGTTAAAAAAAATGTTGTTTTTTTTTACAATATAGACACCAAAATGTGTTGCAGCTTCGTATACATCCATCCATCATTTCTCCCTCTTAGGTGCTCAGTAATGAGCCGTATTTGCGGCCTCAGCATTCCGTATGTTTCTGTCTCACCTGGACTTCTTCCCTGAGGGGGGGAAACACAAATGTATTTTTTTTTTATCTGTTAACCAGCATCAGTTTACGTCTTCAGAGATATTTTTCATAATGTGCTCCTTCGCTCCACAGAGTGCAGCGAGGCCATGTTTGTAGTGCGTTTTGCTAAAAAACCTGTGCACATTTTATGAATCTGAGATCACGAAAATAAATACGACCTGGAAGATAACACCAAAAATAATGTTTGTATTTCAGTTTATGCTGAGAAGGAGCTGAGTTGCAGAGGTCAGTGACGACCTAACTCCACTACAGTGATGCAGTTTGGCATGAGCAGGAAACATTCAGTTACACTAACCCACAGTCTGTACGCAATCCTTTCTTCAATTTGCATGATAAAAATTCATTTTAAAAATGAAAAATGGGTTTGAAACTTTCAGCATCCATTTGTTATTTACTTCACAAATGAATGATTGTCTTTCAGTTTTATTTTTAATTGTTCAACTTTGAGTTGTTGTTTCAGAATTCAAATTTTTGAACAACTTTTTTCAATTTTCTAGCGTTGCACTTATGTTTGGACTGTACCACTAGTGCCTGGGGGAGTCTACAGCCAGCACCTTTTCGAATATCCAACCAAATGATGTATTATACAGTGCGTCTATTCATGCAATAATTTATCAGCTACCCTATTTTGGGAGGGTTTAAAGACATATGTGAACATGACTCACAGCCTGGAGCCATAATGGACTGCTATTGCTGTTAAGATTAAACATAAAGTAGCAGCCTTCGGATGATTTTTTTATCATGAATAGCGAATAAATGAGTCAAAAAACAGCATGAAAGCAAAAATAACATTATTATACTAACGCTATAGGCAGCGTATTATTTATTAAGGCCTCGTCTGACTCACTGGATGGAGACATATCGTCTACAGTTCGTTTGTTTTGTAAAAATTCCCTTCGCTACAGTCACAACAACCTCTTTTTTGGGTGAATTATTCATTTTATTGGCAGTGTTCGCCTGCCTACATGCAAATGGAATTCCTCCATCACTATTTTTGAAGTGAAATCGGGTCAGAGCATTTCTTTTTTGAAGGAGCAGGTAGACCATTCTGAACAGCGTTGTGTAGAATTGTCTGACTATGCAAGACTAATTAATGCACGTGGTGCGGCCAAGATCTCGCTGCATGGTTAGACGGTAAAACTTAAATTGTGAAGCAGCAACCCAAACAACTTATCTACTTGTGCAGTAATTTAAAACCCATTTTTCACTTTATTCACTTGATAGATTTTAGCAAATTGAACCTGTAACTAAAAACCCCCACATTGAACGGCATTATTGGGTAAGACGTTTTCCGCACAGTCTGTCTTACTTCTCGTTATAAACAGCTCCTATATTAGCGAGTCGATGCGGCTTTCATCTGTTTAGTCCAAGCTGCATGAAGAATTTTTGGCACAGGAGTTCTGTAACTTTCATGTTCATCAAGTGATGCACGCTGGCCCTATTTAGCACACGCACAATGACTAGTAAAGCAGCAGCTGTAAAGTTATCTGTCACGCTCAATGAATATGAAATATGGGAGTGACAGGAAGCATAAGGAAGCTTCTTCTTTAGCGTATGCTTCCGACGAGCAACGATCATAGGAATGAATGGAGGAGGCATCTCCTTAATTCAACCCAGTTTGCTACACCAGACAGTTACTGGGTGTAAATATTTAACAGTCCTCACATAAAAAACTAGTTCTTGTGGTACATTCAGTTTTAATTTAAAGATCCAGACCCTTACTTTTGACCGCAGAACTCTAAACTGGTACAATCAGACCCAGCTTGACTGAATACGGCACATGCAGGCTCCACTGCTGCTGCTGCTTTATCTTAGGCTACAGTATATAAACCGTGAGAGGTGCCATAAAGATCAAATAAATCTTGACAGGAGACAGTCCACAGAATCACAGTGCCAGGAGACGTGCCAGTAGGTCAGGACAGGGACAACATTTGTGGCCTATATTTTACTGCCTTGGCAAGAGTTCAAGTAGTCCTCTGGCTGATTTGTCTGGTCATAAGGTAAAGTGCTGGCTAAGAGTGTGCGGATATACACACAGCGACAGCACTGACCCAGTAAAGGCCACTGATTTACTGCTAAATTCCAGAAACCATTCCAGGCTTTTAAAACTATAAATTATGTAGAAATAGCAGAGTGTATGCAATTATTGGTAGAAAAGGCAGAATTTCACGCCATGCCATAATTCTAGTCACATCTCTCCCACTGCACAAGAAAGTGGACCCCCTGGTCGTTCCTACATCATATGGCCACCGCAAATTACTAATGTGTCACTGAACTATAACAACACCTGACATCTCTCCACCTTTAGGCCCCACCGCTGCTTCTCTGCTGAGAAGTGGAAGGAGCTGATCAGCTCCAATGATCTTCATGCACAAAGGTCAGGGGATGTTTTTGTGTCAGCCAGCTCATCTGGTTCAGTCTCTCTAGGTGGGTGCTCAGCCCGCATTCTCTGAATGGTGAGTCATCAGCTGCCAAAGCAGTTACCAAAATTACACCTGATGCCTATCAAGCCTGTCTCTCTCCCTCTTCCGCCTGACTGCATGTGCAACATCAAAAAGCTATCTGATCCTTTCAACACACTGGCTGACATTTCGGCAGAAGTCCTCGGGAATTGCAGATGGACTTTGTCTCTCGAAAAGTTGTGCGTGTGCGCGCGGGAGTGCGTAGGTGCGCGTATTAAGATGTGTGTGCGAGAATGAAAATAGCCCAGATTTTTCATGCAGGCTGTTAGAGACGGTTTGTAAGAAAATTACCCACTAAAGGAGCCTATTTGCCTGAGCTCAGAGTATTCCCACCTGTCATTTCTGTGAGCCATTAAGCATCATAGATCAGGTTAATAAAGTTAGTCCTTATTAGAAGGAGAAGTGCTTCACTGCACAGTACTTGAAGATGTTTTTTTTTTGTCCAAGGTTTAATTCATGACACCCTTTTCTTCCACCTCTGCTGTTTACCTTTCAAGGGCGTTCCTTTCGAGAGGCGCCGAGCCTGGACAAGAAGGTCGAGGAGAGGACGAGGCAGGGTGGGAAGAGGGTCGTTTCAGACATTAAAAAGCACAACACGTCCACGGCTGTCAGCGATAATATGCGGTGCATCGGGGAGGAGATGGCACATTTCAGAATTAAACCGAGGCTACCGGCCAATAAGGAGGGTGAATAATGACACTCAATGTTCCACCTTAATCGCCCCAATTCTCTCTTCCATTTACATTTAAAGATCTTTTCTTCATGTTTACGTCCCAACCCAGGTGGAGAGAGAGCAAATTGACGAAAGATCAAGAAGACTTACTTTAAATGGCCTTCTGATGCGATCAATAAGACTCTACTGGGCACTGAAAACTTTCTACGAAATGTGTTCTCCACAGGTGTTCGGAGTTCTCGTATCTACTAATGCTCCCCGCTGAAGCGAGCTGCACAAACAGGTGTGCAGTATTTTGATGATGAAAGGGTGTTTGCTTTAGTTTGTAGTAGCACCTGTGGGGGATGATTCTGAATTGCAGAACATGTTTGGTTTAGAGTTCATGTTAATTCCTAAATGCTGTAACCTAAGATTTTTCCCCTGCTGTATTTCAGTGGTTTATGCATTAAGTGACTGCAAACAGACATTCATTTACAGCTGCAAAACATATCGAACACATATCTGCTTACCAGGCCCTAGAGGTCGACCAATAAGTTGTTTTTTTTCTCAGTCTTGATAATGATTTTTAACACATGTTGCAGTAAAAACTGAAATCTTGGTGTTA